GTACCAATACGCTCGCAAGGGGACCGAGAGGTATAAGCAGGTAATTGTACCACGGTCTAAGCGGGATGAAGTACTTAGGCTTGCACATGAAGGTTTACTAGGTAGTCACATGGGTGTGGCTAAGACGCGAGATAGGTTAGTTAGGGAGTTCTATTGGCCAGGTGTATATGGTGATGTACGGAGATTTTGTCTGTCGTGTGACAAGTGTCAGCGAGTGGCACCTAAGACCTCACATCGCCTAGTGCCGTTAGAAACTACCCCTCTGATTGATGAACCTTTCTCACGGGTGGCTATGGATTTTATAGGTCCGATAAAGCCCGCAGCAGAAAGTGGCAATCGTTATGTGCTAATGATTGTCGATTATGCTACCCGATAGGCCGTTGCTTTAAGGAACATCGATTCAGTTACGGTAGCTGAAGCGTTGTTAGGGGTCTTGTCTAGAATTGGTGTACCAGACGAAATATTAACTGACCAAGGGACGCAGTTTGTTAGCCAGGTGATGGAGGAAGTAAACCGGTTACTTTCTATCAGGCACCTGACTACTACCCCTTATCACCCACAGTGTAACGGTCTTGTGGAGCGTTTCAATGGGACATTGAAACAAGCTCTAAAAAAGTTATGCGAAAATCGACCTAGGGATTGGGATCGATACCTTCCCGCGATACTTTTTGCGTACCGCGAAGTACCCCAAGCTAGTCTTGGATTTTCTTCCTTCGAGCTAGTTTATGGGAGGACAGTGAGAGGACCCATGGCTGCATTGAAGCAGTTGTGGACGGATGAGAAAGCATCCGAAGAGGTAAGAACAACATATCAGTACGTTGTTGACCTCCGTAATAAACTGGAGGAAGCTTGTAACTTGGCCCAGAAAAATATCTGTGATGCAAGGGGACGTCAGGCCAAGTACTACAACAAGAAGGCGAAAGAACGTAAGTTTGAGGTAGGCGACAAGGTGTTGTTGTTGTTGCCATTAGAACATAACAAACTCCAAGTGTCTTGGAGAGGCCCGTTCGTTGTAACGGAGAAGAAGGGTGGACAGAATTATCGCATCAGGGTGGGCGATAAAGAGAAGCTGTACCACGTTAACCTACTTAAACGCTACCGGGAAAGAGAGTCACCTACTGAGTTCGTGGTTGCTACAGTTGTGACGGAAGAACTCGACGACAATGGAGGAGTGGCGGAAGCACTTCCTAGTTGTCCGTTGACGGGGAACGAAACTTACGTAGACGTCGTCCGTGACGTAACGTTAACGTCAGACCAACGTGGCGAGGTGGAGGAGATACTTCACGATTACGAAGACACTCTGACGGAGAAACCAGGTATGACGGATTTGGAGGAGTTCAGTCTGAATCTATTAGATGAAACACCAGTAAAACTGAGACCCTATCCACTTCCGCATGCGAAGTTAGAAACCGTGAGGAAAGAAATTCGAACTATGCTGCAATTAGGGGTCATCGAACCAGCGGAATCGGCGTATAGTTCACCGGTTGTTTTGGTACAGAAAAAGGATGGCGATCACCGTTTTTGTATTGATTACAGGAAGTTGAATAGGATCACAGAATTTCAAGTAGAGATGTTACCAGATCCTGAGAATATATTTGCCGGAGTGGCGAACGCAAAATACTTTTCGAAAATAGACCTGTCGAAAGGTTATTGGCAAATTCCTGAACGAAAAGAAGACCGTCCGAAACTTGCTTTCGCAACACCAGATGGAATATACCAATGGGTAGTTATGCCTTTCGGGGTCCAGAACGCACCCAGTGTCTTCACCCGAATGATGAGGAAACTTTTAGAACCTCTAAGAGGGAGCGGAGTCTCTAATTTTATGGACGATTTATTGTTAGCTACTGCTACTTGGAAGGAACACGTAATTCTGTTGAGAAAGGTTTTGGAACGACTCAAACAGGCAGGGCTCACCGCCCGACCCTCCAAATGCCATATCGGATTTCGTAAATTGACGTATCTAGGACACACCCTTAGTGAAGATACATTAACCCCAGACAGTACGAAGGTCGAGCAGCTTCGGAATGCCGCACGTCCAACTACAAAGACGGAAGTTCGTTCATGTCTAGGTCTTGCAGGATATTATCGAAAATATCTTGCCAATTTCAGTGTTATCGCTAGCCCATTGACCGACTTGACGAGAAAGAAATCTCCGACAAAGTTGTTTGGACAGACGCTTGTGAGAGGGCCTTTCAAACGTTGAAAGACAGACTGACGTCAGACGCCATTGTTAAGCTACGAGACGTGACAAAGGACTTTGTGTTACGTACAGACGCTTCTGACAGAGGTCTTGGTGCAGTTTTACTGCAAGAACATGACGGGGACTTTTTTCCTGTTGTATACGCGAGTAGGAAACTTAATACCGCTGAGCGTAATTATTCAGTCACTGAGAAGGAATGCCTAGCGATTGTCATTGGGATTCATAAGTTGCAGCGTTATCTGTATGGTCGAAAGTTCATTCTAGAAACCGATCATCAACCTTTAGCGTATCTTGCACAGGCTAAATTGACTAAAGGGCGTTTAATGAGGTGGTCATTGTTTCTACAACAATATCAAGTCAAGCTACGTTACATTCGTGGAAACTCAAATGTGGAAGCAGATTGCATGAGTCGATTGCTTGAGTCTGAGGTGAAGGGGTCACTTCAGGACATGTAAACATTAAATTAAACTGTAACTTCAAAATTCGATGAGCAAAATACCAGATTTTACTCTTAAAGGGGTGGGGGCCTATGTGATGTGTCGAATTTTTAAAACTCTTAGAAGCTTTGTTTAAAGGAATTGTATCAAAGTCAACTTAATTAAAGTAGAAAGGGCTAGAGATAGATGATTATTTTCATTTCATCTCTGAACGTCAAAAGGGAATTCGTTCTAGCCGACGTAACATGACCGAGTCAGATGCTATGGTACAAGAGTATGACATAAGACCTTTCCCCAAAATCGGCAGGTTAAAGGCGGCATCTGGCTATAGATGATAGCTCAAAGTAAATGATTAATTACGGCATGATTAGTTGTTTAATTTTCTTGTCAATCCAAACATTCTACGAACAGGCTTAGGAAACTGTCTATTCCGATTGGTTAATATGGATTTATGGGCGTAACTCTGTAAGAAATTAAAGGTTTTACTTTAGGGAAATTCTTGAGTCGTCTTCGATCTTTCGCAAGGAAAGTTAGTATGACTCCGAAATTCGTAGAAAGTACGTTTTCGTTATTGAGTAAGGATAGTTCTCTCAGTTAGGAGACGGACTATACGTGAGGTTCGTGGAAACATAAAGAAACGGCAAAAGGAAACAGCTTTCCTGGATTCACATGAGGAATCCTTGAACAATCACAGGACGAGAACAAATTCTACGCAGAAATCTAAGTCCGGAGACGATTGTCAAGTCAGAGTTCGACGGACAAGAGTCCAAGACGAAAATGCTAGACAAAGATCGACAGAGCAGGGATGAATGGAAGTCTTGATGTCTGCATAAATTAGGTGATGAAGTCTCTCATCGTTACACTCAAAGGTCACATCTCATTGGAAATGAGGATAGTAATTTAACGTTGAAATTAATTTTACATTTAAAGAAATTTGTATTGTCTTTTTTTATTTGAGTACATGTTAGTACCATTTTCCCTTCTTTTGTAACTAAGTCATTGATTTCTTTTCATTTTAAATTATGTTGATAAACTGATTAAATTTTATATTTGTTCATTGAAAGGGGGCTCGTTTTGTTATTTCTTCAATATACTCGTTCAGTGATCTGCATTCTTCCTTCTATCCATCCACACTGGGTAAACTACACCGCGGAGGTCATTCCCTAGCAACAAACCGTAGTGAAAGAGGTTGGTGTGTTTTGCACGCCGCCAATTTGTCACATGTAACTTCAATCCATTTTTGTTCCATATTTCTCTATTGACGCATATCCTTTCCTGATACTAGTAACGATACATGAAGTGGCTATAGCAAAACATTTGTGATTTATTGACTAACTATAAACTATATAACGATTTCATTCATTAACCTTTGTAGGAAACAGTGTTTTTCATTTTCATATTGAATGAAGATTTAGTGCAGAACTAATTACAAATGCCACTTTCAGTGTTCACAGGTGCGTCATTGTTTCAATTCGACAAATGGTACAAGCTTGTGTAAGGATGCCAATTTTGTTTCCTTTATGAAGGGTTATTGCTGTTAGTGAGAGAGAGAGAGAGAGAGAGAGAGAGAGAGAGAGAGAGAGAGAGAGAGAGAGAGAGAGAGAGAGAGAGAGAGAGAGAGAGACCTTTTATACAATGCAGTTCATTTGTATCCACTCCAAAAGGTATCGTTTAAATCTGTGTTAGAAATGTAATGATCACAAGCGACTCAAATATATATATATATATATATATATATATATATATATATATATATATATATATATATATATATATATATATATATATATATATTCAGGTTTTAACAAAGACCAATGGGCTAAAATTAATTGTAATTGTCCCTAATCCTGAAGCACACTGCACATTTCAAATGTACCGCCCGCCACAATGACAGCAATAGCAAACAAGGCAGTCATAGCGACCAGCGTTGGAAGGAATATTTTCTACAAATCTTCTCGTCATTGTATAATCAGTTTTCATTTTGGTATTGATTCATTTTTTTTGTTCCCTTATATCAATATTACTAGATAACATTCTATTTGCTTCAACATAATTAGCACTGTTCGCTGACGAATGAGACTCACCCCGCGCACGTAAGCTTTCCCATGTGTGTTGGTTTCTCTGTGTGTGTGCGCGTTTGCGCGTGTGTGTGTGTTTGTGTGTGTGTGTGTGTTTGGATTTTTAATGTAGCTTTAATAACTTGAGTCATATAACTTTATGTCTGCAGTGTGACAGTTTGTAGTAATGTCTAGCACTGAGACATCATGTCCCAGTCACTTATCCTGACATCGGTCCGACCAACATTAACCTCAGAATGCTGATCTCAAGCGAGACAACTGCTAGTGTTGCTTTTAATAAGTCTTTGTCTCGAACGGGGTTCGAACCCGTGATCTCCACAATCCGAGGTGGATGCCCTAATCACATTGGCCATCGGATTAGTCTCGTGTCCATGGCAATAAGTCTGTTTCAGTCATACCATAAACGACGTGTAAATTTTTCAGGAAAACATTAAAACTATTAGTATCCCATAATATAATGTTTAATATGGTTGTTAAAGTACATAAATATTCAAATATCCATGTTCTGATTTACTCATACGTCCGTAGTAACTAATCTTATATACTTTAACCATGTTTCTAAATTTACAATTAAAGGGTGTGTAAATTCTAATATAACGCAATAAAAAATGCACTAGTTTACTAAATAACCTAATAGCGAATTACACAATTAATTCTGTCCACAAGCTAACAATCTACATAGTTCCGCCTCGCATCTAATAACTCTCTACGTAAGCTCAAGTCCATTTCTCAAATACGCATGTAAATGAAATACTGCAAAGGTAATTTTATATACTAAATGATTCTAGTAACGAAGTATACATACCACAAATTATTACAATTATGATTTTGTAATATTCTTCAAAATCGAGCAAATAACTTACTGACCTTTCGATGCTTTTTCTTTCCTTAGAATCTACCTCTAAGATATGACGCAAATTACGATTGGATTCTAGTCGGAGTAAACCCTATTGACTCACAATCCTTTTAGGTGAATACTACATTTCTCTTACGAGTTCTGAAAGTTATTATTTGGATCGGAATTGTAATCACACCCTATATCTCAATTCCGATTGGATATTGCTATGAACCGATCCAATTAAACTTAGTGGACCATGTCCCTTTCGCTGTCTATCTGAGAACAGGCCACGCTCACCCCGCGGGCTTCTCTTTGATCTTTGAACTAATCTTTAATACATAGGGTGATAAATACAAGCCTTTGTTTAGATGGTGCGATCTATTGTCTTTCGCCGATTCAAGTTTATGGTCTTTTGCCTGTTATGTAACCAAGCCTAGGTGTTTAACACTAACCCGCAGAAATCTTTAGACATCGAACATATGACCGCGGTAGATTATAGCTTTTTCAAGACTTCATAGCTGGGGATTATCAAACAAGACATAGTTTAATGTTGTTGCTACCGGTAAATATCCAGCTGTGTTGGCCATAGTTAATGAAATAATTCACATCTTCCTTTTACTTTAAGCACCTACACGCATGCAATGAATTACTTCTAGCTATCAATAAATAAAATGGCGACGGAAACGTGGAACACTGACCACGGCATAAATATGGCCGCCAGAGGTGACAATAATTGTAATCCTTTCCTACCTGACACCAGCGCAGGAGAGTCAATACATCTAGTGTCATCTAGAGAAAAATGTATATCTTTCCATTTAAAAAAGCAAATATTTATACATCCAAAGACCTAAATTATAAGGTGAAAAACAATTATATAATTTATAAAAATATTGAAAAATTGACTGCTAGCCATCGCTTCTTACTACTCTGTGTGTGTATGTGTGTGTGTGTGTGTTTGTGTGTGTGTGTGTGTGTGTGTGTGAGAGAGAGAGAGAGAGAGAGAGAGAGAGAGAGAGAGAGAGAGAAGGGGGCCAGGGAGGGAGAGATGGAGTCTGACATAACTTTGATACAGTGTATCAATCAACAACTTCTGTCATGTAAACGTTTAATTCTAAGAAACAAACCAATCCGAAATTAATCTGTATCCTTGTCTTGAGGAATTATCCAAGACAATTATCATACACACTACAGTTTCAAATTATCAGTCAGTCATCATATCACCAACAATCATAACGAATACCGTAGACAGACTAATCTTTACATGATGGTATCTTTAATTTTCATTGTTGTACATTATCTTTGTTTCATAAATCTCATTATACGGGTATATTTATTTGGCTACACGACATTAAATCCGTTACAACACTTAGAGTTATGGTGAAAATTAATGTAACATTTTCAGAAGTTAGATGACCCACTATTTGCCATTTCACTTAACTATTGTGAATTCTCAAAGATATGCTAGCCATAATTTTGACTAATTATTGATACTTGGTATATTAATTTCTATGTGTAGATGCCAGATAAAACGTTTAAAGGATACATGCACATATATAACAAGCCGGTATTGTGTTGATGGTTTGGAATGAATTGTATTTTTGTAATTCTGTCCACTTAAATAAATTACATGTATATATGCCTTTAATACGTCAACTCCGCACGCGTTTTATTGATTATTAATACCTGCTTCGAATTATAGTAACACTTTAAAGCACAATATCCCTTAACCTAAGATATATATTATAAAACCAACCAGTTTGGAGTATTCTGGTAGGAAAGATATAAAAATAAATGAATATAGAAATCACAATGTTTGGCAGTTAAATTTCTAAATTTTGTATTGATTCCTTTAATAGAACAATTAAATTCTGATAAATATGAAGTTGTATTGCATCGGTCAATATTAGGTTTACTTGTCCCTAAAATATCATGTTAACCTCAAAAATGGTATATAACTGTATAAGCATTACTGACAACGCCATGCCATGATCAAAATGAATGTGTTACTTTCTTGTCAGACAATGATAGCTTTTATCTCTTTCATCTAACACTATCGAATTCTGAGCATGGTTTCTCGCCTTCTTTACGTAAGATGCAGTTTGCCATTTTGTAATGGAGACTAACTTTTTGGCAGAAAACTGCATAATTTTATAGGTCATGTGTAGAAACGTTCTGTATAGATATTATTATCATATATAATACGAATTATAATAACAGGAAAACAATGAATTCAAGCAAAAACTATTAGTGGAAATAAAGAAAACTTTCTGGCACTAATGCATCATGAACACAGCGTATATTGCTAATTTATAATTATAGTTTGACAAATATCAGTGTAACATTCAACACAAACAGTAGTAAAGATGAATATTAAGGATATAGACTTAACATTTCGGAAATAATTAAAACTGATATTGCGGAAACTATTACAACCTTGCTCAAAATCATAGTGTCCATTTGCTGGTGTAATGTGTCAAAACTGACTGTGATAACTATATTGTGATGTGATATCATAGCTGTTTAATAACGAAATAACATTTACTCGCACTTCTACAATCAAATAATAACTAAATGTTTTAAACTTTAAATTTGCATTGGGAAGTGATTTCATTAGAATGCGGCCACTACAAATCCTGCAATTAACTCCACGTTTTGCTGAACAAAGGCTTTTGATCTCGCAGTCATTTTTAATTCTGTCTTTTGGTATCATCTAGTTTGTGTACTGGTTGCTACTAAACCTGTTTGGTTTCCTACAGTATAAATTTCTGGTCTTGTACCTTGATTTTTCTTTCTTCCTCGAGATATTTGAGAGCAACGATTATATGGATAAACTTATCCTTTTTATGGTAGTATAACTGTTGCAAAATACTATGAATAATTTGAACGCTTTGATTTTAATTGTTTTGAAAAGAAGAATATCTTTATCTCATGACGAAATGCAGTAATTGCTTGTTTTCCTAACTGAAAAATTTTGATTCCTGAAGAATCTGTTTTATAGCGTAAAATCAGTTCGTTAACACGCAATAACATCAAATAAAACGCAGTAATTGTTTTGTTTTGTTTTTCCCTCGAGGCGCTGTTAATGTCGAGAAGACATCTTAATCTGTTTACAGCATACTATTTCATCTGGTCTATTTACAGCATGACCTTGACGTGTTTATTAATATTGCAGTTATTTAGCCTCCTCAATCTAGATACCAGATTTTACTAACGTTTCCATTCTGCTTCGTATCTGCAATTGGAGCTATAGTAACAACCCTGGGCTGTGCTATTTGTATTTACATCAAAGCTTTGTTTGACTTTGGTGATTGTTGAATTATGAGGGTATATTTCTCAAAGCGAGTATATTTGCCATTTAATTGGAATAGGGGCAGTATATGTATGGTAATAAGGCGACTTCATGGTATCTTGGGTTTGTTTCCTAAAAATGACCTTGTCAAATTTCTTAACATAAGATGTTTTTGGCATAGTATCACATATAGGTGTTTAGTAATTTGAGATTTAAATAAGTATGTGCACAGTGTATTTGTATCATGTTTTGAAAAGCATAAAATATCGTCCGAAGGCCTACAAGCGAATACTAATAAATAAAACGAAATGAGAAACAAAAAAACATACAAGTATGAAGTCAGGAGCTCGTGCATGACTGATCAGATAATTTAGTTTGGTATTAGCGCGTTTACAACACTTCAGTTGACAATGAATGTTGTCTTGAGATCCTTGGAAACACGGGAATAATTGACCTCAAACTTGTATCACGACATTAGTAGCTTTACTCGGTCGTGAGGTACTTTTAGTCCCATGGTGACTTACAATATATTCCACAAAGTTATCATTACGTTGCTTCAAAGGTACTCTTGCTGACAAAGTATCCATATCTATGATGCAATCGAATCCTATACTAAAACATGTCTAGAAAAAATAGCAATATTTCTTTCTTGTTATTGTTTCGTGAAAAATCTTTAAACTCATTTGCAACTGCGAGATGAAGTATTAAATAGCAAAATGATGTCATCGTCGCTAGCCAACGGTCGTTGATCTACTTCACGGTGACCCATCACGTATGTAGCTAAACTTTATAGAATCTATCGCTCCTTTGTCTGTTGGGATGCAGCTGAAAGAAAAATAGATTGAATCAGAATGTTTCATTTTATTTACCTAGGAAGATAGTTGGAAACATTCACGTAACTGCCACCTGCAACTGTCTCTAATTTAAATCTTTCATACAAACTTTTTCTTTTCGACTCTAGACATGTGAACATTAAGAAAATCTCCATACTGAATACATAGCAAGTCACGCAACGAGCTCTCACTGATCGGATTGATATCGTTATGCTCAGTGTAGAAAAAAAAAGGGATCCGCCATACTTGGCCTGTGAAGTCGGGTTACGATAGTCTTTGTAAATGATCTTCTGACATGTAATTATATAGGACAGGCATTTGTTTTGGAACAACAAACATAGTTTTTACTGATATTTTTCGTGGGCTACATCATCTAATTTACCCTAGCTATATACATATTCAT